CATGGGATGCATATGCAAGGATGAATATTTTAGTGACTCACTGATACATCTTGAAATTCATCAAAATTGGTTGCAACTGTTTCCCACTGGTATGTTATACAAGGAAGGACCTGTGAACCTTTGGCCTTGGCTTTTTTCAACTCAACTTTCCTAATCTCACGGTACAAACGGTGACCAATTATGGGATCATCCTCATACCTGCAATATCAGTTGCCACATGGTCAACACATAGAATAAACACATTAAAAAAATTCAGGATCTTTTGTACCATAAAAAATATGCCAAAACATGAAGAGGTTAAAAGAAACTTAACTACATTACCAGAAATAAGTTCCATGTGAATCTCCACCAATTCGTTCTTTACGAAATGCTGAAAGTTGAACTCCATGTTTTAGTGAATTTTCAATATAGCTCCGGATATCTTCTTGCTGCAACATTTATCTCTTGTCAAACTTCAGCAGTACTAAAAATTTATAACTGACTATAGGACAAGCACATTAAATAGCTATGATGCCGGAAATGTAGGATCATAAAATGATATGTTCAAATAATCAAAAGAGCAAAAAATGAATAACTATGCTTTAAACACTGATCATTTGAGAGCTTGGAGAAAAGGGCAAAAAAGGGCAATAAAACTTGATGTTATTTGCTGTCCTGATCTATTTGAAAAGACAAAGAATCCTGCCATATATATAACTAAAAATTTCTCCTAAAAGATCAGAAAGAAAAATGTCATGGTTCTCAAGTGAGCTCTCACTCTGGAACTACCATGTTGCTGGTAGGATGTTGCTTCCTAGCAGTGCAGCAAACATAAAATAACTCTAAACCAACAAATAAATACTTTCCAAGGTACTGTCACACACTATGTCAACTTCACAAAAGCAAGTGTATAATAACCAGGACCATCAAAAAGGTAAGGTATTTATTAAGAAGACAGTACCTCAACTCGAATGTCACATAGTGCTTTCAAGATGACCACACGAATCCCAGGATCAAGAGTTTTATAAACTTCAACTTCAACTCTGAAAACTCACAGTGATTAGACACATGAGATAGAAGCACATTATGTTTATGGGCAGAAAATCCATGGTACTCACCCATGTGAAGCAACAATAGGCAGATCGCCTTCAGCAACCTGCACAAAAAACCAAGGACTGCGCGTTAGATTGGAAGCTGGAACAATAGGATTCTATCACAGCCACCATACAGGAATATACAGCTAAATACAAAAAATAGGGTAGATACCCAGTGCCACCAGTCTCGCAATTTTCTGCACAATACAGTCACCCATGTATCACGAGTAAGGGCCATTCTTGTAATAGGAGGAATCGCCTGAAGAACACATAAAGTCAGAGTTACAGGCAGCTTATTACAGTGAAAATATAACAGTAATAACATACACGAGTTTCTTTTTTGGAGCAAGAGAAACAATTCTCAAATGAACTAGCAACATATTTAAGTCAGCACTAGAAGTCTTTGTAACAAGGTTAACAGAGAAGTGCAGTAAACAACTTGATCTAAGGATAAAATATTTCATTGAATATCACAGAAAAACAAGCTGCAAAAATAAAACAAAAAGGTAACTTTTTCAGATAGAAGCAATGTGATGCTTAGTAAAGGAAATAAGTACATCTCAAAGATGTAATAATTTTGATAAATTGACTGATTTGATCTTTCTAGCAAATAAATGAGGATGAATAATAGGCCAGCTAAACCTCCACCTATATAATAAAAGTCAAGAAAACTAAAGTTCATTTCTTTTGATGGTGGGAGACTTGAACACAAGACCTGAAATAAGAGTTTTAAGCATGCATGTCAATGGGTCATGAGCCCCACTCCAACAATTAAAGTCATTTCTAAAACCTAAAACTAGAATGAGCGGCTAGAGCTTACTAAACTTTATTGGAAAGGAATCTAAATATTGAAATATCACCTAGCAGGCTAGCAGCCAAACAAGAAAGGAAAAGGTTTAATTCACCTCACACATTAAAACTAAGTGCAGCTGTGAGCAAGTTATTAATTGACATTGTTTACCACTCAAGACGACTTCTTTCCTTTATTTATTTAAAAAAAAAAAACAAAAGAGAAAAAGAACCACACAAGCCAATCATGGAAGATTATCCCGAAACAATCGGACAAATACACACACAAAGACAAGAGGCATGATTCCATTTGATGCACCAATTGTTCAATCTCCAAAATCTTGGAGAAGCTGTAATTCTTCAACACATCAGAAGCTTGCAACAAAAAATGGGATAACTTGTCATCTACAATACACATCCACTCGACAGTTTCAAAATTTTTAAAAATTTACAAGGCACATGAGAGCATTTTACCAACCAAGTCTAATCATTAGCATAAAAGCAAACAACAACGTAACACTTAAAAGTTGTTTATAATCAAACAAACGTTGATCATCAAAAATAAAATGCCAAAATCCAAAGAAGAAAATCCAACAATCTCATAAGTCATACCTGACTAGTCAAAACACTTCTTTGTGCAAAAGATTAATTTTCATCATAAATAGTTCAAACACATTTCAGCCAACACACACACACACACACACACACACACAAAAACTCTTTCTGCAAATCTCAGAAAACTCAAAAGTTTAACACAAACGAATAATTAAAGAGAAGAGAATCTTAAAGCAACTCTAAGGACTAAGGAGGAAAAGGAACCATCTCTAAGCACATAATTCTTTACCGGAGGAGAACCTGCTATTGAATGTCTAACTATTAATCACAGAATCTTGGAGTTTCTTGAGCTTAAAATCTAAATTAGGTGCAACTCTTATATGAGAAAGGAATAAATTGGGTTAACTTTTCTTTCAAATAAATTCTTGGTTCGGTAGTGTTGCAGCCAGAATAAATTGAGAAACCAACACTTAGAACTCCCACCAAACTTCAAATTATCAGAACTTTTAAATGATATGGACAAATTAAAGAGCACTTAAAAAAACTTGAATCCAAAAATGACAACGATAAGGGGAGCAACTGAAAAGTCAGCTAAGCTACAATGATGTGCACCCAAAGCAAAAAATGACCAACAGAGTGTGGATATGGAACCACATTATTTACAAACCCATCGCATTTTTCAATCAGAGAAGCAACTCAAACCACAAACTCAGCACAAACTTTGCAGTTCAAATTCAAGTTCCAACCTTTAGCAATGGAATGTGTATGTCACTCAAAGTGTCGTTGGGAGTAATCAAGGCCGTCTCGAACTCCTCTACTGTGAACTCACAATGAATATTCAATAGTGGCCAAAAGACCTGCAGCTCGCAAAAGCAAAAATTGAAGTCTCAAAACGCAACAATATGCAAAATTTTGTTAACGGAGATTAAACCCCCAAAGCTTACATGCAAGAAATTGAGTACGGACGCTAGTTCCCACTTCGACCGGAGGTTCCAACGCGGCAACTGAGAGGGCGACGGCTCCTCAACCAGCGTGGTCACGATCTTGCTGCATTGCTGCTGCTGAGGCGACTCGTCGTTTTGCTGCTCCTTTTTCGGCTTCGGCTTCCGCTCGACGACTGTCTGAGCCGCCAAGAGCCGCTCCGCCGCCCGAATGGTGCAAGCCCGCGAGGGTCGGTTTCTCCTCGCCGTGGGCTGCTCACTGTTAATCGTGGTCGTGGTCGTGGGCTCGTTCTCGGCAATAAGGTCATCGTTAGCGGTATTGGGGTTGGGGTTGTCGATGTGGGAGAGCGGCTCAGGGGAGGATCGGTCGCAGGGGATCGGAGGAGGCGAAGAATCTTGCGACATGGTCGGCGAGATCACGAACGACAAAGCAAGTTTTAAAGCAGGATGATTACATGTAAAAGATCCCCAGTTGGGTATATTTGCATTTGAAATAGGAATGAAATTAGTAAGAACAAAAAGGGTCAGTTTTATTTGTTAACTGAGAAACCAGGAAAACAAAGACGAAGATGATGGAGGACCAAAGGTCCAAACCATCATTCAAAAAGAAAAGGTTAGGTTTTTGTATATCTATTCTAAACAACGTATTTACTTTCTTTCTTCCCTTTTTTCCCCCCCACTTTATACTGACTACGAATTGGGGGAATTTTATCAAAGAGAAGAAACTGAAAGTTGGGAGAGAAACAAAAATGGAGGAAGATGGAAGAGAGAGAGATAGAAGAGAAGGACACTACCTGGAAATTGGACACACAGCCTATGGATTTATTTTTAACCTTCCAGTAAATATGTTTTCCTTAATCAGTGTTTCAAACAGCCCCCTTCAATAAATCTATCATAAAGATCGAATTTTTATGTTCACCAAGAGCCAAACGGATTTATGTTTTTTGTGTAAGGACGTAAAAGAAAAGGGAAATAAGATAATTTTAGGGTTTTCCTTCCCCCCACCTCTAGTCTTTTGATGCCATTGGTAGGTTACTGTTTGAATGTCCTTTCTTCACCCATGAAACTTGTTGATCCAACAAAGTTGAAGACTTTGGCTTTGCTTCAAAAATTAAAAAATCAATTTTATTTTTCTCTCAGGGATTTCTGAATATCATTTGCAATTTAAATGGTCAATATGGCTCTGGATTTTTCTATATTTGCCTTCAACTTTTTGTGGGTATTTTATTTTGTAGTGTAAAGTTTGAAATCTGTACTGTTAATAAGGAGTTCAGATGCTTAATAACTCTTCTGAGCAAAAAGCCAGCTGTTTCCTTTAGTAAAGTAAATGAGTCAACTTTGTGCTAAATTATGGCTCCAGTTTTTTAAAATCAAAAGGGATTAGGATTTACTTAAGCAAGATGAATTTAATATGCCTTTGTTTTGGAGATTCTTCCCTTTATGTTGGAATTATATTTGCTTGAATATAGGAGGTGCTCCATAGCAGTCAGATTTTGCTGTTTCTAAATCTGCAATCGTTGAAGGATGTCACCAAACAATTTTAAAATTTCATTGGAGTTTCATCATGAAGAGCAATGAAAGCCCAATACCCACAAATTGAATCAGCTTTCATCATAAATCATGAGTTTAAATCAAGCTTTCTACATGATTATCCTTTACTTCTTTGTTCCAAAATAATTAAACTGGTTTCTCTTTCACACCCATGAATGATCTTACGGAGAGGTACACTTCAAAAGGATTGTGCAAAGTGTGTTAAATGCCATTTTCAGGATCAGTTGCCATGGCCACATCTGTTGGTTTCAATCAATGCTGATGAATTTTGGTTCCAACGATTGACTATTTCGTTGTTATCGAAGTTTCTCATTTGCTTTTTGTTTTTCTAAAGAGGTTCGAGGTAAAATTATATGTCTTAACTAATTGAACGTTCACTTTCATTTGGTATTATCGAAGTTTTCCATTTGTTTTTTGTCTTTTTAACGAGGTTCGAGATAAAATTATGTCTTAACTAATTGAACTTTCACTTCTCATTGGTGGTACAAGATCTGGAGTCTTATTTTTTTTTTTTACTTTAATTTTTGTGGCTCTGAGTTATTTTGGCAGTCAATCATTCACTCTCTTTCGTTTGTCATTTTGTGGATAATGTACAATGTGAAAGTAACTCGTCCATAGGAAACAAATGGAATTTGATTGTGAAACTTTTATAAACGGTTGCTTTATTTACCCATCACCTCGTGCAGATTTCATATTCATGTATAGTATGCATAATACATATACACATTTGTATAAGGTCAGACTTCTTCACGTTATCAGGCAGTAGAGTCGCCAACTATGTACTTTAGACGGTAAAACGGGGAAGGAAGACGTGGGGCTCGAAGAACAACCCGAGCCGTGTAGTGAACAGGCTCTGCCGATATTCATTTCTTCCCCTCATATTACAACTAGAAGACTGCCGTAGCTTGAAGCTTTTCTTATCTTCTGTTCAACTCAGTGAATAAATGGTAAAGAATCCCAGAAGAATAGCCGTTATATTTTGGTCTATTGAATTGGAAGAATGAATCTCCTTTCTCTTGCAATTGACCAACACACTGACCCTCTATCTTCCATCAAGTGAACTAAGAGCTTTCATATCCTCCATAGAGTCATCCATATCGGCTGATTCTTGAACCGCGACAGCAGATGTTGTAGGATGGATCATTGCTACAGTAGTTGGCGAAGATGGTTTAGCTTTTGCTTTCAAGATAGGAGTGTTCCTCTTGGTCGAACAGATGGCGGGACCTGAAACCAAAGCTGGAACATGAAACCGTAGGAGGTTCAACTTCAATGACTTTATAAAAGAGGAGGGAACATAATGGGTTTAAACGGTTCCTTGTGCTAATGTTCTAAAAATTACTGTCAACAAAACCTTCTATATATATATATATTATTAAATTCAAATAATATACTGCACAGAGTAACTATTAAGCATATAAATAATCCACACTATAACTTTCTTATATATAAAGTAGCTATAAAAACAAACATAAAGAAGAAAAAAAAAAAACAAAAGGGGAAAAGGAGCTAAAATGAGGAATAAAGGACGTGGTAGGGAGTGTATATAAACGATATAAGAAAAAGGATCACGAGGTCTGAGAAGAACTAAAAAGATTTTTACCTTAACGAGTAAGACCACTGACCGCCTGACATGGTGTCGAGCTAAGGGTCAAAGGTGTGCTCAAATGTGAGCCCCAATAGGCCTAGGCTCTCCTTCAAACTAGTCAGCAGACAAGAAGTTGAAGATGAGTGACTGAATGATGAGTATAATATAATCATGCATGTGCAGCACTTGAATATAAATCCATTAGGAATTTAGCGAAGACGGGCATTAATCTTCATAGCTATCCTGCCAACTAAAATTTTAACTCGTACCTGCCGTTGGTTTGGGAGTGAGCTGAGATAGTGGCATATGCATAACAGTAGATGTGGCAAATTTGATATATGATAGCTTCTATTGGACGCACGGCGTAGTTCCTTTTTCTAATTTCTTTTAAACTCATCAATGATCTCATCAGGCAGGTCCAGAAAGATTGAAAACAGTAATATCTACTAATAAGGTTACAGAATAAGATATCCTGCAGCTAAAGTAAGAGACATCAAAATCTCGAACATAAATCCATAGAATATGTGATAAATCAATCCATAAGTTGACCATAGGGTCAATAGCTCAACCACCTCCTTCTCACTCCAAAAAATGGCAAACTAAACTCGGGTTTTGGGATTCTAGTATAAATGCAACTCTTGAAAATCTGAAGGACAAAACCAAGATACCTAAAGGAGTATATTCTCGAACGTATTAGAAACTACAATCTTATTACCATGACAATTGAATCTCGAAAGATAGAAAATGGTTATAAATATCTGAAGAAGATTCAAGGATAATATTATCCTGCACTAAAGTAAATGACATCAGAATACCAAAACAGAATTCTATAAGTTAAACAACAAATCAGTAGCTCAACCACCTCTTCCACAGTTGAAAAAGAGCAAACTAAAATATAAAGGGAGGAAAACAAGTAGAAGTAAAAATGGAACTCTTGGAAATCTCAAGGATAAGCCGAGTTACCTAGAAGTACACAAAATTAAAACCTTCTTTTTCTTTAATGCATCTACGAATTTAACGATACTCTCAAACTTAGAAGGGAAGGAAATAGAGAGCAACATCTTTCACGAACTAGCTCAAGAGCAAAGAACTAGTTCAACCATATAGAAGTATAGAGCAAAGAACTAGTTCAACAAGATAACAAATCCTCAGTGAATATGTGGAGACTAATTTTCTGTTTGCCGGGGGAGAAGGGAAGGAAATAGAGAGCAACATCTTTCACGAAATAAAGGCATAAAGGTGATTTTGACAAAATGAATAGGAAAACTGCATAGTAAAGGGGCTGAGAGAGAACGGCTCCAAACTGTGGTGACCACCTATCTACGAGTTTTCTTGCCACCAAATCTGGTGATTATCCTTTGGATTGAAAACATTTCCACAAGAAGTATTAACAAGTTCCAAATTTCTTAAGGAAACCTCATATTGAATCTAAAATTCAATTATGACCCATTGTTATGCTCAAAATCCAGTTAGAAGTATTAAATTTTTTGTGCCAGTCCAAGTGATTAGTGCATAATAATGATAGTAACAGAAAGTTTTATTTCATCACATATGGATAAAAGTAATTATAGAGTTACCAATATTCGTCGTGTTTACTGATGTAACAAACAACAAAAGAGAGATAGAACTATTGCTTTGCGACCATTGGAGATTAGTCATTTCAATTCCTTATTCTAAGCTCCTAGTACAGCCCGTAGGTTTCCTTATCTTCCCTCCCCTGGACCCCTGGCGGTCTTCCATCGTTAACTGTTTCTATAAAACCCTCCTATTCCTCATCTAAATCTAAAAGCGCACTATAAACCACCATGCAAAGTTAACGAAGAAAATATTTCATAGTATTTTCTCAGCAGCAGAAGAAGTTACAGCAAAGTCAGAGACGCTGACATATGTCTGTTGTGAGAAAGACGGAAAGGGAAGACATTATAAATATAAAGAGAAATTTTAATCAATAAATCCTCTCTCAGTTTGAGTACTGTGAGGTTAAAGAGCACTAACTTACTAATAAAGCGGCTCAGAAGCAACAAATGTGTATTATTCTCACACTACAACCATGTACATACAATATCTTCTACGTACAAGATACTCTAGGAGCAAGTTTAAGTTGCCACAAGAATCGGCTAACGTATCTAGTATAATTAGCCTGCAGGTTGAAAGAACACGAAGCAGTAGCACTAGTGCTTCAATTTGCGGATTTCACACAAGATCCTGCAAAGATAACTGAAAGCAATGGATCAGTGATGGTAATTCCCACTTGGGGAGAAGGGAAAAAAAACTCAACTTTTCCCATTTGGAGCATTGATATTGTGTTAGGTTTAAATAATGTTCAGTTTTGCAACCTGAACAACTTTTTAATTACACAAATTTTTCTTTGTTTATATATTAGACTGAGCTAAGGAGGAAAAATAAAATCGATCATCCAAATCAAACAAGGCCATCACAAGCAAAATCCAATCCTTTCCGATTCTCCAGTATATTGATGCCCTCTCTAAACCAGGCCACATTGTACATTCGTATATTGCTATTTTTCTTGGGAGGTAATAGTGCCTTCATCTCTAAGCCATACCAAATCACACAACAAGAGGAAACCTAATTCAATCCTTTCCTCCCCCTTAAGAATGTTAAATCATTTTTTCTTATTTGTACTGAAAACTTAGAAATAGATGATTGTGCAATATGCCTCAGGCATGTTGACACAAGAGTTGTTTGCCCTTCAGGCGTAATAAATCAACCTACAACAATGTAAGAAAGGAAGAATAAGGGCATATTGGCAATTACCTTGCTAGCAGTGACCAGAAAAAACCTCCGCATTTCACTTTGTATGCACCATGTGGTATTTATTCCTTTATCCACTTGAAGAATGTTGCAGCCTTCTAAAAACCACTTGATCGTAGAAACTTCTTCTCCAGAAAAATAATCCGAGGGCTGCCCAAGAGCCCAGAAGGGTGGCAAGAGCCATAATCAGAAATGATAACATGAAGCAGTTTGTTCCAGTACAAGTGTCTCCTTCACCTGATGCTTCCTTGTCATATATATACCCAACAACTCTAACTGAAAATAAATAAGATCCAATAGGGCTCGCTATTGTAATAGCATTGAATATAGTACCCATGTGTACAACACCAAATATTTCAGAAGTAATTGTTGGCATTAGTGACCACTGAGAACCATAACAAACACCCACTATCACCGAACCAGCAAAAAGAGCACCTGGCAGGCCAGAAGCAATCACTACATGTCCAATGCTCATGATTGTCAGAGTGAGGAACATGAATAACGGCCTAGCCCATCCTCTTGCATGTAGAAAATAATCTGATACATATCCAGCTCCAAAACGACCAAAAAAGTTCCAGATGCTCCACAATGAAACCAAAGTACTTATCTCCAAGCTTGTGTAACCAAGAGATAATCCTATCTGGCTGATATTATTCACTGTAGCTAATCCTGTTCCCATGCCGCAAGCCGTTGCAAAAAACAAAATCCAAAAGTCTATGGTGTATAAAGCTTGCAAGAGGTTAAGGTTTTCTTCAGATTCCCTTGGCCATTCATTGTCAAAATCCATGATCGCTTGATTGGAGTGACCAATCAGTTGGTCACTCTCGGTAAGAGAAGAGAGCAAAATATTAGTGGATTCTGTCTGCTGGGCTCTGATTGCAATATATAGAGGAGATGCAAGCAACATCAAAAGTAGAACAAATGCAGCAACGTGTAGAGGGAATTGGAAGGTGAAAATATGCTCTAGAACTATCTTGAACATAAGGTAAATAGCAACTAGCAGAGTGATTATGGATAGGGTATTGAGATGCTCTTTCTCAATTCCATCATTTGTATTGTGAATTCTCACAAACCACATGAACAATAAGGAATTAAGGGTGGGTAGCAGTGCCAACATCAGAATAAACGAAGTAGGCTGTTCATCAAATATAGTCTCGTATACTTGAATCAATATTGCTCCACTCAAACCAAGAAACCCCTGACAAAAAAAAACAAAATTATATTGGGTCCAAATAAAATCCAATAATTTTCAGGTGAGATCCCCAAGGATCCAATACCATACCAAGTAAGACCTCACTCAAATTCGAATTTGATTTCAAAAGAATAGTAGGACAAATGAAAGTACGACCTACAAAATATTGCGAGCATCACCTAAGATGATATAATTCTTCTTCTTTAAAGGTTAATAAAAGATTTGAAGGTCAACAAACTAGCAATCCAACTTCAGGTGCTCAAAATAATGGTTCTAAGCTCTTTTTTCAGAACAAATTTATGAGAAAATAAAATATGAAAGCTATGTATTGGACACAACCCATCATAGTTTTCTTCAGAAAACATAATTCAAAACTTCATACTCATCGCTACTCCGTATGTAATTGAACTTCCTCAATCTGATTTGCAGACGAAACGAACTCCATAGATCAGGGCTGAACGTCATAATTACGTATTCAAGATATATAAATGAAATAATGTCCAAGTTTATCGAAAACCATAGTCATGTCGATTGAATTTCAACGTCGATAAGTTTTACCTTCATGATTCCGACAATCGTCCCACTATAACTGGGAAAATTACGAACGCCAGTGACAACGTTACCCGTGTTGAAGAAGCTCTGAGCATGAGCAGCCACCAACATGAAAAGGCACATAGCGGGAACCGGCGGCCGAGGGAAGAGCCCAGCAACGGCAGCCCAGATAAGGAAATAACCCAAGAAGCACTGAATTGCACCGGCCAAGTGGACAATCCACGGTCCACGACGACCGCCATCAGCGGCGGCGTAGTAGTAGAGAAAGCCTGAAAGGACGCCGCAATTGACACCGATGTCCTTGAAAACAGAAACAATGTCCAAAGTGGACTGATCGTAGCGCTGAGTGGACTTGAGGGTTTGCGAGTAGATGGAGAAGGTGTAGAGAGACCCACTGGTGCATTGAATCCATACGCTAGCAACTGTTGATACCCATTTGTTGTTTAATCTGGGCGTCTCCATTTCCAATTCCGTTGAATTGCATTTGCTTTGTGCTGTTCATGTTCCGGTTCCTCTTCCTCCTCCATGTTCGTCGCGTGACACTTGTCAATCTCTCGAACTCTCGATTCACAATCTGATTCTGCCCGAGTCATCTCCGCATCGTCTGATTCGACCGAGTTCGTAAAATTTCCCGCGGGTAACTGTGCCATGGGGGACACACAAATTTTCCCTTTCAACCGATGGTGGGATCAATATCAAGATGTGAATCATCTTGTCTGCTCTGAATTCGAGAACGAGGAAAACGACAAAAAATAAACAAGAAAAATATGTAGTTTCTTTTTTCGAAAAATATGTAGTTTTTTTTTTTTTAAAAAATCAAATTTGTGACATTCTAAAAAACTAATATTTTTTAAATACATATACAAATATATATATATATATATTTTAAATACATATAATATCTTTTTCATCCACCATAATGTTCCCTTAGTTATAATTAAGAGTATGATTTTAATGTCTTATATATACAACAATTTTATTTTTTTAGTATATATATTTATACAATAGTAAGTTTGTATTTTTTAATTCAGCTATCCTGAATTAAAGTTTAGTTTTAAGTTTAAAACAATGAGATGGATACAATTTTATGATAAATTATGTAATATAAAAATTAAATTCGAATTTTTAAAATTATAGCAACAAAATTAAAAATAAGTCCAAATTACAAAAATCTAGCTAAAATCAACTCAAATCACGTCACCAGATTTGTAATTTAACCATGGTAGAAATACTATAAAACTATATTTAGCTCCTATTTTTTTAGTACATTATGTGTTTGAGGTGGGAGATCGGTAGAAGGTCGAACTCACAACCTCTTAATTATAAATATATGTAATTACTGTTGGAATAGGCTCGCTCTAACATATTTAACTCCTATTTCTCGAACTCAATATCAAATTCTTTATATTTCTTAAATATTATTCGCTTCAACTCTCAAAATATTATCATTGTTAAATTATAAGTTTAGCTCCATATATTTTTTTTTCTTTTTTGAGTACTTAGCTCCAAATTTTTTATACATTGTTAACCTCTATCTATTATTAAATTTATAAACTTTGTCATGATAATTGACATCTACTCCTTCCATCTTCAAATCCTGTACCCCAATTTATTGAACTTAACAAAAAAAAATCAAAACTTTAAAAACATATTTTACATCTTAATTACTTAATTTTAAAAAAAGCTGTGAAAATTTTCATTAATAAAAATCTTCACCGATTTAACAACTCAAACCTTGAATCGCTCAATCATCCAATACCTCACACCTTACAAACAACAGACTAAAAATATTAATTCCGAAGAAGAATAAGAAAATTCTATGAAAAAAAAAATCCTTTAAAAAAAATTATATGAACAAACAACCAATTTCACTCAACGCTTCAGATTTCATCTAATCTTTGAGCCTTCTCTGCACAAGAGATTGATAGAATCTCCTGGTCCGGAAGAACAGAACAACAGCAACAAGAAAACCCAAGAAAGCCACAGCAGCCATGACCAGAAAAGATGTCATAAAGCAATGTTTGCCGGAGCAAGAGTTGTCTCCGGCGGAGGCTCCGGCTTCTCTGTCATATGTGTACCCAATAACTCTAACAGATAGAATATAAGATGCAATCGGACTGGCTACAGTGATGGTATTGAAAATGGTACCCATATTCCTAATTCCAAATATCTCCGCCGTAATCGCCGGCATCAGCGACCACTGAGAGCCGTAACAGATCCCCACGATCACCGATCCCACGTACAAATTCCCAGGGAATCCTGAAGCTATGATGATATGGCCGATGCTCATGGTCAGCAAGGCCGCCGCCATTAAAAATGGCCGCGCCAAGCCTAGTTGCCGGAGGAGAAGATCAGAAGCATAGCCGGGCCCTAGACGGCCAAGGAAATTCCATATGCTCCACAGTGAAACGAATGCGTTGATTTCGACTGTTCCGTAACCCAAAGATTGGCCCAATTGATTCATGTTGTTTATGGTGGCTAAACCAGAACCCATCCCGCACATCATCGCAAAAGATAGTAGCCAGAAGTTCACTGTGCCGATTGCCTCGATTATATTCATTTCTCCGTCTGAAACAATCGCCAGCTGATCATCGCTCTGAACTTCACTAGGAATTTGACGGTATTCGACGGAATCGTCGGCGTTTTGAAGGAAAACGGAGTCCTCTGTTCGTGCTCTGATTGCGATTCCGAGAGGGGAGGCGATTAGGGTTAGGAGTAGAACGAAGGTGAAGATGCGAGCCCAGATTGGTAAAGTGAGGGCGTTGTTCAAAATGATGAGAATAGTGAGATAAGCGGAGATTATGAGAGCAATTGTTGAGAAGGAGTTCAAATGGTTTGATTCGTTTCCGGTCTCTGTTTTGTCGATTACGACGAAGGCCATGAGAAGAAGAGTCGAAAGCGCCGGCAAGATCGACAGCAGCACAAGATTGTTGGGAATGACAAATATTAAAACTTTTTGTTGTCCCACATCGGAAGAATAACCTTTTGGGAAGTTGGTTTATAAGCATTGACTCAGTATTGAACTTATAAACTTGGTGTGAGAAAAGTCAAGACTAAGGCCCACACGTGCGCCGTCGTCGGGCTCGAGCCAAATAAATTTTTATTTTTTATTTTTTAAAAATTCAATTCTATTTTAGACTACCGCGTCACTATAAAAAGCTCACTCCCCTTCCATTTCAGATCATCACATTCATCTCAATCTCCACTCAATTCCTTCACTTTTCCACCTCTCTCAACTATCTTAACTGAGCACGAGATTGATTCCACTCCTATTTTGACGAGTGCACGTCTGAATTGGAGGTTGTGTTAACCTTGGGGAGCATACCGGCAGTAAAACGATTTAGCACCGAGGTCGTGCCGATTTTGCTTTGAAGGTAGTGATTCCGCCCACGGCACAACGTTTTTTACCTCCTGGTTCCTATTTTGTCCTTTATTGTCCAACAGTTGAAAGCAAAATCCTACTAATGGCTGCTATCCGATCTGGGAAGGTCCTACCGGACTTGTCAAAATTGGAATCACTCGACGGATCCAACTATCGCCGATGGTCACAGAAGTTATTGATCTTCTTTGAGCAGTTGGAGATCGACTACATTATCACTGCTGCTCAGCCCGCCGCCGTTACTACCGCTGCCACCACTACCGCTGCAGCTGCTGTAACTGCAACTACCGTCACCGCAACCGTCACTGATCCGCCTGCCGTTGCTGCTGCCACCGTTTCAGTTTCTGCTGCTGTTCCCGGGACGTCTACTACCATCGAAGCTGACAAATTCGAGAAAGACAACAAAACGGTCCGTGGGCATCTTCTCAACCATATGAACGACTCTCTCTTTGATCTCTTTGTAGTC